TCTCACTGGTGCTTACTCTCTTTTCTCAGTCAAAGTGTGCCCCTCGACGCTCGCACCCTTTTTTTGACGGGGGAAAACTTGGTGCTCAAACTGGGCCCCTGGCCCCCCGGATTACAACAACAACGGCTCCCATCTGAGACTTCCTCCGAATTTAGTCAGGACCCCGCTCCTGAGACTCCCTCACAATTTACTCAGGATCGGTGTTCCCGCCTGCGACTTCCCATTTAGCCAGAACCCCCGCTCCCATCTGAGACTTCCTCACAATTTGCTCAGGAAAGGCGCTCACGCTTGAGAATTCCTCGCAATTGAGTCAAGACTTCCTCGCAATGTAATCAAGACCCCCGCTCCCGCCAGAGAACCCCTCACATGTTATTCAGGAGTTGTGCTCTCGCCTGTGACTTCCATGCAATGTATTCAGAAATCGCGCTTTCGACGCTCACGAAATACGCTGCGCCAAGGACGCCGTTACAATTTACTTAGAAATCGCGCTCTCGCCATACTCAGGCATCCCGCTTGAATGTCCCACCCGTCCGACCCGCCCGTCAGGGGATCGCCCGCCCGTCGTGGGCTCCCGCCCGAAACTTCCTTCAGGAACGGCGCTTTCGCCTAGGACCTCGTCGAACGTTCACGATCTTACCTTCCTGCTCCTCCTCACTCTCCCTCCTCCTTCCTCCCCCCTCTCCTCCCTTCTCTCTCCCTCCTCTCTCCCCTCATCCTCGTGCCTCCCTGCCCTATCCACAATTACACAATATGAATACTACTCTCCCACTTCCCCTGATGGCGTCCGGAAGATATTCGGCACCCCCCCGCGTGCTGTTTTTTTACACACAGGATTCCCCGGAGTTGGGTTTTCGCTTGTGTTTTTTTCTAAAATGCTGCTCTCGCTGAGGCGCTGGCCTAATTTTCGGGCTCCCGCTCCTTCCGAATCGTGTTCCCGCTGCAGCGCTGGCCTCATTTCCGCGCTCCCGCTCGTTCCGAATCGTGCTCCCGCTGCAGCGCTGGCCCAATTTCTGCGCCTCTCGTTGTTCCAAAACGTGCTCCCGCTGCAGCGCCGACGTTTTCGATCCTTTTTCAGAAGCCCCAAATCTAGAAAATGATCCCCGGCAAAAACATGGGAGGTGATTACACATCCGGTGTCGATTCGTTGATTTTTGGGGCCGCAGAAAGCCCCCCCCCTTTTGGGCGGCGTCCTTTTGGCGCGGGTGCCGCTCCGGCGCGGTCGCGTCGTCGTCGTCGTCGTCTTCGTCGCCGGTCGTCCTCATCGTCGTCGTCGTCGTCGTCGCCGCCGTCGTCGTCGTCGTCGTGGTTGTCGTCGTCGTCGTCGTCTTCGTCGTCGTCGTCGTCTTCGTTTTCATCGCGCCGTCGTCCTCCTCCTTTCCCTCTTAGGTAACAGGGTCAGATGCGAAGCCCGATTCGGTGAGAGGACAATGAAGTAGCTCAATGGGAAGGGATGGGAGGGAGGGGTAGGATGTCAGATGTTGACGCGAGCGCACCTAGCTTGCCTCTCCCTCCTCTCCCTCCTCCCTTCGCCCTTCCCTCTCCTGCCTCCTCCCTCTCTCTCTCTCTCTCTCTCTTACGCTTCACAGTAAAGCCGACAGAGCCACCAAACTGGGCCGGAGCGGTCAGACAGCCTGGGTCGCGGGGCCCCCCGCGGCCCCAGGCCGCAGCACGCACGCGGCACCCGGGGCCCCCTCGGTGGCGCCTCCTCTGTTGCTCGGCGGCGGACGAGCCTCCCCGCAGCGAACCTCCCCTCAGTGGAGACGGCCCGGGACCGAAGCCGACGGACCCGGACCCAGATGGACGACGGCCGCGGCGCCCCCTCGCGAGCCGACGACGGCCGATTCCCGAGTCGACGCGGCAGGGCAGGAGGAGGAGGAGGAGGAGGAGGAGGAGGGGGAGAAGGGGGAGGAGGAGGAGGAGGAGGAGGAGGAGGAGGAGGTCTATCAACCTCCGAAGGGTCCCCTCAGTGGCGCCTCCCCCTCTGCGGGTATGCCAGGATCCACCCGAGCCTCCCGAGGGAGGCCCCTGGAACGGCGCAGGAGCTCACAGGAGGGCCTCGCGGCGGCCGCACGAGGCTCCCAGGCTGCCCCAGGCTTGTGGATGCTGGACACACTAACAGTCCGATCATCGAACGTAAAATGTGCTTAAACTGTGAAAGGCATGCTCTAAGCATGTTTCAAGCATGTTGTCAACGTGTTTAAAAACATGTGTGTGACACATGTTTCAGACATCTGGAAATTATTTGGCAGCACGCTTCCTCTCCATTAATCGACTTCCACGATCCCAGGCAGTTTCCAGCAGTATGCTGGAGGCTGGTGAAGGCGCCAGGGTGCCCACACAGGATATCCAAGATGGCCACATCAGTCAAAAACCAAAGGCACTCCACCCCAACGTGTCTTGTCTACTTGTCTGGAATCTAGATGCGTTGCGAACGCGTGGCTCTACGATGGCCCTGGAGGCCCACATTGACCAGAAGGAAGGCCCAAGACCCGTGACCAAAAAGGAGGCCCAAAACTGCAGAATGCCGTAGATACCAATCCTACTTGCGACTTCAACTGCCAAGGCGTGCGCTTCCAAGCCAAGGATTCGTTCATCCAGAAACGGCCCGTGTGACGCGCTATATCATTGGCCCCAGGGCACGTTTGACGTCAGCGCGGGCGAAGCGCGCGCGATGGTTCGAGTCAAGGACCCCCAAGACGCCACTCCGAGCTATCACTTTGATTCCTGTTTTCGGGAAGTGGCTTCTGACGCTTGCAGCAAGCGCGGAGAAAGGGCCCCGACGTGGTCGCCAGATGCAACGAAAACGTTGCAACGGGGCCCAAAAACAGGCCGCCCCGATCTGGTCCGGTGATTTCCTCGGCGGGGCACCAAAGGGGTGTGGGCGTGGAAATCACCGAGTTCGGTATTGTCGTTCCCCGTTTTCGTTTTCTTATTGTACTGATTCCTGTCGCTATTGCGAATCTAGATTACGCGATGGTCGCGGCCGTCGGGGTTCGGTTTTGGACGCAGTAGGTTGGCTGCGCCTCTTGTCTGGAGCGTCATGGAACGCTCTCGGAGACGTCCGGAAGGCTCTGGAAACCCGCGGCTGCGAGCAAGATTTGTATCCATATCCACTGCGTGCCTCGTGTCCACGATGTTTTCCCTCCGCCACCCGCAAGCGCGTCGCCGTCGTCGCCGCCTACTGTCGGGGGGTCGTCGTGGTCGTCGGAAAATCGATCGGTCGGTCGTCCTCCATCCTCCTGGTCCTCCTCGTCGTCCAACCCCCTCCCTCCTGCTCCTCATCTTCCTCCTCCTCCTCCTCCGCCTCTTCCTCCTCCTCCTCCGCCAACTCCTCCTCCTCCGCCTCCTTCTCCTCCGCCTCCGCCTCCCCCTCCTCCTCCTCCTCCTCCTCCTCCTCCTCCTCCTCATCATCATCATCATCATCATCATCATCATCATCATCATCATCATCATCATCATCATCATCATCATCATCATCATCATCATCATCATCATCATCATCATCTTCATCATCATCATCATCACCACCACCACCACCACCACCACCATCATCATCATCATCATCATCATCATCATCATCATCATCATCATCATCATAAACACCATCATCATCATCATCATCAGCAGCATCATCATCAGCAGCATCATCATCAGCATCAGAATCATCACCATGATCATCATCTCGTCTCCTCCTCATCTCGTCTCCTCCTCCTCCTCCTCCTCCTCCACCTCCTCCTCTTCCGCTGCAACAGACCACCCGCTCATGGAGAACCCCACCCCAGCCGAACACCAGGCATTCGAAGAGCCCAACGAAACATCACTCCAGCCGCGGATGTCCCACCTAGCTCGCTTCCCATGTACTCCAGATTTCGTAATCAAAGGGAGGGGGTCTGGACCCTCCAAGACAAGCCATTTCAGACCCCCCCCCCCGTGGGAGAACCCTCCAAAACATCGTCCTCAGACCCCCCCAGGCCCTCCAAGATAGCCTGGAAGAGACCCCCCCCCGAAATGAGACCCCCCTCCCTGCATTACGAAATCTGGAGAACCTACCCCAGCATACCTGTCCGTTTCCGTGTGCACTGCTCGACCTTTCCGTCTCCGGTGCTCGGCCTTCCCGTTTCCAGAGTTGGAAGCAGCCTTTCCAGGGTTGGGGAGCACCCTTTCCAGGTTTGGCAGGAGCTCAGGTTTCCAGGGTTGAGACCTCGTTTCTCGGGTTGGGAATGTAACCAATATTCTATGCCCTCATCCGACCTCCTTCTTACGAATTGAACGCGTTGAATGGTAACTATTATGTTCGAACAGCTGAACTGCCATGTGCTTCCGGGTATGTTTGGGCCTCACATGTGTCAAAACCTGACATATCAGCGATATGCGTGGGGTGTTCCATCGTGGGTCGGGGCTGCTGTGCTCCTGGGCTTACGAAAATAAATCCAGCGTGCATGTGAAGGAGTCCGCGTAAGCAGATTGACATCTCTGTGTGCCACACTCTGTATGCTGCTGCTACTGCTAGCCCCTCACCTGCATGTCTTTAAGCATGTTGGCTCAGGCGCTTTGACCATTCGGCTACATTCACAGGGATGAAGGGTTAGGAGGCAACTACTGGGAGGTCTTCGTCGGAAGGGCTAAAGAGGATTAAGCCCCACTGGGGGCTTTTACGCCAAAGTGGGCCTCGGATTAAGCAGGGTTGATTAGCCGGATCAAACGGGATTAAGCGGGATTAAGCCGGATTAAGCGGGATGACGCCCGACTAAGCTGGATTTCGGACCAGGGCCAAATCAGAATTTGACCTCCCAGGAGTTGCATCCGAAGAAGGGTATCAGTGATATCAGACCACGTCACCCTTCACTACCCTCCCATCCCGTCCATGGAGGAACACAGTTACGGCATAGTCGTGGGCCAGCGCCGATCCAAGAAATCCGCGCGGACCTTCGAAAGAGTATGTTTATGCCGTTTGTTCGTCTTCGAACCCTCCCGCACAATCCGATCCCGATCCCTCCCACCTGTGTCTGCAAACAGCCACTGCAGCAGCAGCTCGTCGTCCTCCGAAGGCATGTAGCAGTTTGACATATTCGTTGGGCGGTGCGCCTGAATGAAGGAATCCGACGCGTTCTTCTCAAGCCCCTCAATGTAGTGCAAGTCCTCGTCGCTGCATAGCTTGAAATACTCCGTCTCGTCGAAGCAGCTCGCGCACAGCACCGTCTCTCCGAAGAAGTCGTGCGTACCAGACTGGTCTCCAGCGCCGTAAGGATTGATCGGCGTCTCCTCGCAGCTCGCGTCCAAGTCGCTCCACTCCTTGATAGAGTCACCGTCGGCACTGGGCGCGATCGACGCAATGGACACGCCGTCCGCCTGGAGCTCAGCGTCGCTCCAGTCGGAAAAGATCCAGCGCAGCTGCGCGAGCGTCAGGCCACCGATAGTTTCGATGCACGCGTTGGCCGCGCTTCCCCTGGCGACGGCCACCGCCAGGCCGTCTACGGCCACCATGGTCTGCGTGACCCGGTTGCCACTCCCCAGGCACTCGTAGGTGTAGCCGTCGTCCATCAGCTGCGCCTCCGAGGACTTCCACTCGCGAGACATGCTGCCGATGTCCACGTGCTCCGCGTCGCTCTCTGGCAGGCACACCCGCCGCGCACCAGCGCTCGAGCCGCCTCCCTCGAGCGTGATCGTGTAGTTCAAAGCCAGGGCGCCCTGCCATGCCTGTGCCACGGGCTTCACGGTGGACGAGCCGGCGATGCGCAGGTGCGGCAGCGCGGAGGCAATCTCGGGAGTGGCGCAGAGGAGCAGCAGGGCCACGATCACCAGCATGTCCCTGCTCCGGCTCACGGCTTCATCATGAACCCGCCTGAGCCAGCACGGCTGCAGCGGAGGGCAGCTCTTCAGAGCCTTGCGAAGACCGCGTGCGAGCAGGAATCGCCATCGGGACGATCAAGGGGCTCTGCACGGGCCTGCTCGGGACCAGACTCGCAGGACCTCCCGGGCAGCAGACCTGAGTCATGCCCCTCCTGGACCTGCCAATTGGCAGCTCGTTCTCTGGGCCGTGAAGCGACGTCCATCACGCGGCTCCTCGAGTCTGCAGTCGGGCCGCTGAAAGAAGGAACGCCAAAGAAGGAACGAAGCCCCTTCTTTGACCCCAAACCCGCCTGCGTGGACGAAGAACGCGGGAGAAATAGCCATGGACGGACCTACTAAATGTAAGGAACGTCGAGCCCCTTCCCAATCCGAACGGTTCCTTATTTCAGCGTCTTGGCTGTAATCGCGCTGCCCGTCATCCCCCGCGTCCCGGTCAACGAGCAACATCGCGCCGGTCCCCTCCTGGACCTCCCCATTTGACAGGCGGCGGGCGCCGTCCATGGCGCGCGACGCTTCGAATCTCCTCGCGCTTCCCGTCCACCAGCTCCTTCTTTTTTGTAGTAGTTGTTTTGGGAGGAGGAGGAGGAGGAGGAGGAATGAGAGGAGGAGAAGGAGGAGAAGGAGGAGGAGGAGGAGGAGGAGGACAAGGAGGAGGACATCCGCCACGCCAGGATGAAGGAGCACCCTCGAGCTGTTTCGGCATGGACCTCCCCAGTTGCACCAGAGGCCCGCCTGGCTTCCGGTGAGCGGCGACCCCCCGCGCGGCTCTCCAAGTCTGAGCGAGCTGCCCGTCGTCCAGATCACCCTCTGTGACGAGGAAGGGACAACGGCATAAACATCAACTGTCGGAGCTCCGCCCAGACTTCTTCTTGCATCCGCGCTGACCCCCCCCTCCGCGGCGCGCTGAGCGTGCCAGGGGCAGCGCCGGGGGCGCCGCAGAGGGGGGGGGCCCACCGCCGATCCAGGCAGCCCCCGCGCGGAGCTCCGTAAGACTGTGCTCACTCCGACGCGCGCCCCGCGAAGAACACGGGTCGCTTCTCCCCACGCTCTGGCGCAGAGCTGCCCAAATGCCGATCCCTGGGCCCCTCCCAGGGGTCCGTGCTGACCCTCTCGTCGACGCGGGCGCCGGAGGCCAAGCAGAGAGAGCGCAGGTAGGCGGCGAGCCAGGGGGGGAGGCGGCGAGAAGGGGCGTGCCTCCTCAGAAGGCTCGGGAGCCCCCCCCGGGCTTCTGAGAAGTCCTCCAGGCCGTCCACGAAGACAGAAAAAAAGCTTCTCGGGAGGCGCGGGGGGGGCTCCCGAGAAGTCCCGCCGCCTTCTCGGAAGGCCTTCTCTTTCCCGACTCCCCCCCGAGCAGCCGCCCAGCCCGCCGCGCCGGCGATATAGAGGCGGCGCTCGCGCTGCGCGCGGGCCCGCCGGCCGCTCTCCCCCTGCCCAGGCGGTCGAGGTGCGGCGGCCCTGGCAGGCACCCTCGGGCTCGGAGAGGAGGCGTCCTGGCAGCCGCTCCCGGAGCCTCCAGGGAGGCAGCCTTCTCGGAAGGCCTTCTCTTTCCCTCGTTCGCCGCCGAGCAGAGCGCGGGGGAGGGCCGCTGGTCTGGACTGGCGCTCCTCGGCGATGCTTCGTGCTCCTGCTCCCCCGCGGCGCCCGCCGCGGCGGGGGGTCGGGGCGGGGGTCGGGCCCGTGGAGGGGCGCGGCGCGCTCGTGAGCACCTGCTCATGCCCGTCCTGGAGTGCCGAGGAGGAAGAGGAGCAGGAGGAGGAGGAGGAGGAGGAGGAGGAGGAGGAGGAGCAGGAGGAGGAGGAGGAGGAGGAGGAGGAGGAGGAGGAGGAGGGGGGGACCAGGAGGAAGAGCAGGAGGAGGCCAGGAGGAGGAGGAGGAGGAGGAGGAGGAGGAGGAGGAAGAGCAGGAGCAGGAGGAGGAGGAGGAGAGGAGGAGGAGGAGGAGGAGGATGGAGGAGGAGGAGGGCCTGCTCTAGAACAGGAAAATACCTTGAGGGAACGACAAAGTGCACAAACATAAAAACTCCGAGGTCCGCGCAGCTTTCTCGGACGGGCGCTGGACCCCCCTCCGTGGCGCGCGGAGCGCGCCAGGGACGGCGCCCGAGGCGCCGCCAGGGGGGTCCAGCGCGGATCCGAGAAATCCGCGCGGACCTCCGAGTTGTTATGTTTATGTCATTGTTCGTCCCCGGAATACCGTAGACGGATCTACCCTGCATCCGACCTTGTGCTGCGACAAAAGCAACGGACGCATTTCCTATAGACGCATCCACCCCGAAAGTGTCTGCAGACGCAACGGCACCCTCTGTGTCCGCAGACGCGTGTGGCTGGCTGGAGCGTGAGAATGGCACCTACCCCTGCGATCCTGGTATTCTTGAAGCAGGTAGACTGGGCCCTCCAATGTCTGCCAGCCCCACAGAATGCCTGCGAGAACCGCGCCATGCCTGTGGGGGAAATGCCCGCCTCACACCTCCCAGCGTACGCTCGTTAATGTTACGGGGCGGGGGTGGAGAGGAAAGGACCTCATACAGTAGGGAGTCGACCACAAGAAACCTTCCACAAGAAACCCAACCCTGAGACCCCAAGACGTCTATTGATCATTGGTGTGGGAACGTCACGCTTCCCATAGCAAAACCATCGAAACCCAAAAAACCCAGGGCACTCTGGAGGCAAGCAGCGTTTCCCTTGGCATGGGCCTCCACTGCACGAGTTGACCGAGACGGAGAAGCACCTCCTCCGAGGTGAAGGCGGCCAGCGGGCATGCACTGCTCGGGGTTCCATAAAATCCGCCAGAAGGGGGGATGATGGTGCCAAATCCGCATCGGTCCCTCTTGGGCGCCCGACATGGGTACGGAAAGAATCGCTACAATGCCCAACCACAGATGTTGCCCCAGACCAACAGCGGCCGCTGTGGGGCAGGCGGCCTTCTGTCTCGAATGGACACAGGCCGCGGCGACACTGGCAGCGAGCCCTGTTCAGAATGAACAGGAAGTGCTTGAAGGGGCCCTGGGACACACAAATAAATACACACAAATAAACAGATTCCCCATATTTTCCCATATGTTCTGGATTTTTGTCTTCCAACCCACTTCCCATATTTCCCCATATTTTCTGGGAATCGCCGATTAATTGTGTCTGTGTGTTTTTTCCCCTCCTGAGTGCTGTTGGGCACTGCACCCCTTCTTTCCGCACCCGCTTCGCTCGTGCAAGGAGCGGGATGGCGGGTCTCTGGAGCTCCGACGATAGGTGCCGCGGAGGGACATTCCCCACAAGCAGCACCGGCCCGCCCCACTCCGAGGACGGGCCGGCAAGAGGAGCAGAATCTCGGAGGCCCGCGCAGGCTGCACGGGCCGGCGCCAGGTCCACTACCACACCCCCTCCCCGCGCTCCTCATCCTCATCCTCCCGCGTACCCATTTCGGGCGTCCAAATGGTCCCCGGACCCCTCCCGGGGTCCACCTAGGGTGCCATTTCTCGCCCCGGCTCCTTCTTCGACGGTCCGGGGATCCCGAGCCCGGCCGCGGGAGGCCGAACAAAAGGCCCAAAGCCTTTGCCCGAGCCTATAGAACGTCGCCTGCCCGCCCTGCCTGCTGGCCAAAACCAGTGCCAGGCCACCCCAGAACCCCAGACTGAAGGGGCCCCAGGACACACAAATAAATACACACAAATAAACGTATTCCCCATATTTTCTGGGTTTCTGTCTTCCCCCCCCACTTCCCATATTTTCCAATATTTTCTGGGGAATCGAGGATTAATCGTGTCTGTGTGTTTCTTTTCCTCCTGACAGACGGCAGCAGCATCGCTGAACCGATCCTTACCCCCACCGGCGTGGCCGGGGTCCCACAAGCCGTTTTGCCCCCCGGTGTAAAGGATATCAGCTGCTCCCTCCGGGCTTCGAGGGGCAGATTCCCAACTGGAGTGGTGGGGCGGCGGGGATCGGAATGGGGATGGGGATGGGGACAGGGATGGCTTAAACGATGCTGCATGACGGGGTTAAACTGCACTGAACACTCTCCCCCCCTCCGAAGTCATCCTTGCTAACGTTCTGGCCGCAGCCGTCGCCTTGTCGCCCGCCGCGTCCACTTCCTCGTCCGAACGGAGCTGCCTCACCAAGCTGTAGGGGCCCTCCTGAAGCCACGGCAGCAGCTGGCCGCGCTGCACCACGCACGCGGCCACCGCGCCGAGGGCCGCGGCCACGAGCAGCGCGTTCAGGGCGATCCTGCGCAGAGGGCACTGGCCCTTAGACGATTAACCGAAATAGGACCCCTAAACCTTTGGGAGGGGACCTAAATTAGGAGGGGAAAAAACATTAGGGATAGAGGCTCTGTTCTGCAGGTGCAACGAACCAAGCCGCCAAGATCTATGACCCCGAATGCAAAAACGGGGACCTCAGTGAGGCCACGTCCTCACTGCGCTATTAGGGTTAAGGGGTCTTGTGTTGTCGAAGATTGGAACCTCTTGCAAACGCTGCGGGCGTGTTTTTCTCTGCCCACTTTCAAGATCTGCGTGCTTTCCCTCTTGGCTCCCTCCGGGACTTCGCCTCCGGCTCCTGTCCAGGGCGTACCTTTTCCAGCGCAAGCTCTTCAGCACCGCCTGCACCCCGCGCCCTCCGGCCGCCCGAGGCCCCGCCCGCCCGCGCCCTGTCTCCCCAATTACGGCAGGTTCGTGTCGTGCCGACCCCAGCGTTGGTTTTTGACACCGCAGGGATCGTTCAACCTTGAACGATTGGCCGCTGCCGCAACGTCCGATCGTTCAACATCGATCGATTCTGGGTCGCCGGCGGCGTTCAACCTTGAACGTCCGCGCTGGGGTCGCCGCTGGTCGACACGACGCAGACCTACCGTAGGGCTTTGCGCGGCCCGCCTAGCTCTTAACCGGAAGGGGCCCGCTCTCGACCCGCAGACCAAAAAGTGTCCCCTCTTGGGCGCCGTCCGTGCTGCACTTCCTGGTCGGGGATCGGCCCGCGGCCCACCTGTTCGTGTTCCTGCCTGTGCTCAATGCGCCTTTCATGCGGTCTATGAACGTCCTGGAGCCTCCCTGGGATTCCCACGGCCTCCGGGGGCGTCCTGAAGTCTCCTGGAGTTTCCTGATGCCTCCGGAGGCCTCCTGGGGCCTCTTGGCAACTTTCTGAAGCCTCCTGGGGCGTCCTGAAGCATGAGAATTTGCCTCTGGAGGCATCAGGAGGCCTCCTGAAGCCTCGTGGGGCCTCCTGATGCTTCCTGGGGCCTCCAGAAGTTTCCTGAAGCCTCCTGGGGCCTCAAAATTGGCGACAGTTTCAAGGATGGGAGCTTCCAATTGAGAAAGAGGGCGCAGGGGACGTTAAAAAAAACGGCATCGTCACACTTGAAGCCCAAAACCGTCCCGGGCACACCCCAGCGCGAATCCCCGCCCTGCATAGAACGGTGCGATTTGCCCTCTCTCAGCTGTCCCACCGGTCCCCTGGAAGGCTAGTTTTCTGGTTTTCGCTGGTAAGAAACACTTCCCCCCCGTTTCGGCGGTGACGGAGGGCAGGCGGCGGGGGAGGGCGGGTTGGCAGGGTGGCTGGTTGGGCAAGGAGAACAGGCGGAGGGATCGGCGGGTTGGCGGGGTGGCGGGGTGGGCGGCTGGGCTGGTTGGCTGACGGGTTGGCTGGGTGGCTGGGTGGGCTGGCTGGCTGGCTGGTTGGACGGGTTGGCAGGTTGAGCTGGCTAAGGCAATTGGTTCCGATATATGTATTAAAAGGCAGTTGAATACATTGGCAGGCTGGCACAATTTTCACAAGTTTGCCTGGTTGGCACCAGTGCGTGGCGCAACTGTCACACTGGATCGATGCTTCAGTTGGTGAAATAATACTGCTCGTCTGCCGGCAGGCTGGCGAGGCAGAAACAAGGACGAGGTGGTCTCCTCACCCTCCACCTCCCATGCTTCACCACCTCCTCCAAGATGCCCTCTCCGAGGGTCGAAGGCAGCGGCGCTACGCGCCTCGCCGAGGGCAGCTGCCTCCTAGGAAGCACGGGTTGCTGCCAGTGCCTCGTCGGGCTGCTGATTTTGATACAGTCGCCCGCGCGTGCCACGCTTGTGATCTGTAAATGAAAAATAGAAGCGCCGTTGAATGCATTCGAAAGCTGGCAAAGTTTTCACAGGCTGGCCTGGTTGGCGCCACTGCGCGGCGCAACTGTCGCAGAGGATCAACGCTGAAGCTTGCGCAATACTGCTTGCGCGCGGGCAGGCTGGCGCGGCAGAGACAAGGATGAGGTGCCCCCCGCGCCCCCGCCCCGCAGCTCCACCACGCCCTCCAAGATGCCCTCCCCGAGGGTCGAGGGCAGCGGCGCCACGCGCCCCCGTCGAGGGCCGATGGCTCCTAGGAAGCACAAGTTGCAACCAATGTCGCGTCGGGCAGCTGATCTTGATTCAGACACTCGCGCACGCCACGCATGTGAACGGGGGGAATATGCAAACCATACAAGAGGAAATGATGAGCGAGCAAAGCAGGCAGGAAGGAGGAAGCAAGGGAGGCCGCTCAAATTACCGATGCGAAGATGGCCACACGTTAGATGTTTGTCGCACGCGCGCGCGGATGGCACGCAAATAAACGCCGCCATTGCACTTGCGCGTGCAACCCAAGGTCATCGTGCCATCATGCGCAAGGCGGAGCTCGGGCTCCGTGGCCATCTGATCTGACGATGAGCCGTCAAGAATAGTTAGTAACTGCGCGGCACCTCAACGCGGCGATGCCCGTGTGATCTTGACTGTGCGACGTAACTCCATGGCGCGCGCGCCAATCCTGCATCGCATGGTTGATCATGGCAGTGCACACATCTCCACTTTCAATGTAGAGGCCGCATCTGGTGTCGCACGTGAGGTGCTCGCTGAAAAACTCCGCAGCATGCGCCCCGCCCATTTCCAATATTGAGAACACCACGTAAATGTGTTCACACTGCAGACTGGTGGCGCTTCCACCGGCTACCAACTTGCAGTCAAAAGAAACATCGTGAGAAGCCGTTGAAAACTGCGAACGAGCGTCTACAGTGGGATCGAATCCTTTTACCGCTGATGTGAAGTTTTTAAATATACACATATATATATGCGCCTATCACTGAAAACGACCACCGATGCGAACAACTGCCCGACTCGCGCCACTGATCTCCACCAAAAGATGCGTCATTGCCTGCAGGGTGCACAACTACGGAGCTGTGGGTTTTCGAAGATGTCGGAGACAGCGCCTTGGAGCCTCCACCTTCCTTTGAACCTTCACGGCGTGCAAACGTATATGTGTAGGCTCCTAGATTGTCATCACAATGCATGCCATTGTCTTCACGGCGCACAAGTACGGCGCTGCGGTGTCCGAGGATGTCGGGGACAGCGCCTCGGGGCCCCCACCTCCCCTCGAGCCGTCACGCCATGCAGGTGTATAAGTGTAGGTCCCCTGATTGGCATCAAAACATATGCTATTGTCTTCAGAGTGTGCATATACGGCGTTATGGGTTTTCGAGGATGTCGGAGACAGCGCCTCAGGGCCTCCATCTTCCCTTGAACCTTCACTGCGTGCAGAAGTGTATCTGTAGGTTTCCATCATTCGGCCAGTCGGACCAATGTTTTTGTTGCTCCAACGGTTCCATGAACATCAGAGGGCTTGGGTTTCAGCGTATCCAACTCACATTCTCGAAATAGTGTCTGAAGACGTTTGAAGCGACTCGGTCATCTGCTGAGATTATGCGTGGTGAGTGCGGCGGTGGCGGTGACATGATGCTGGCGCTAGGGGCCGCTTTGGGCAGCACGAACCTGTTCAAGTCACAAGTGCCATACGGGAAAAATGTGCTCAACTCCATTGTGTGCGCCTGCGCCCGAAGTATGTGCACCCTTCGGTCCCGAATGCGTCGTTTCCTGGACCGGCTCATGGTAGAAGAAGCCTGCCGCATTGTACTACGATTGTGCTTCCAGCTTGCGTTTTGAGGAACCTCTGCACGAGAATTGGACTGCCACTTTGCAGTTGGGGCTGCCTCCCCCATATTGCTTTACAGAATTTGCCTGCATTTTTTTCTCCCCCCCCCCCTCTCCCGCGGCGACCACATCATGCCCAGGCACTACGGCAGCTACTACGCCAACAGCCTATGCTATGCTATGGGTCCACGGTCAGACAGGGCTCAAAAGTAATGAGTTCCCCTCCCTGCGCCGGCCGCAGGCCAGAGGAGTCAAAAAGAGTCAAAGGAGAGACAGAATTTGCCTGCAAATTGCCGTCACGAGGTCGCATGTGCGAATGCAGGTACCGTGCGCGGAGGTGTCCCACGCTCGCGGGAGGCCAGGCGTTGGCCTCCACACCTAGCCCACGACACGCCCGCATCGCTTGGGCGGTCGTGAGCTTCCTCCTCCTCCTCCTCCTCGTCCTCCTCCTCGTCGTCCTCCTCCTCCTCCTCCTCCTCCTCCTCCTCCTCCTCCTCCTTCTCCTCCTCCCACTCACTAACAATGGACTTGGGGCGAAGGGCTAGCCCCTGCTCGGGGAGGCGGAAGACTCGAGCTCGCGGAGGGCAGGGGGGCGGGGGAAGGTTTCTCAGGTGAACATTTTCTGACTCGGCGTTTCGACATTGGGAGGAAGGGGAGGGGGGGGGGGTCTGGCTCCGGACCTCTGCTGAGTGCTAGAGCGACTGTTTGCAACAGTGCGCCCTGTGGGGAAGACTCTACCTGCTCGAAACAGGCGCCAAAAACAGCCAAGATCTACTCCTCCATGGGAGGGGGGGGACCCGCGCCGATCGGCAAAACAGTGAACGAGAAAACGACGACCAGAAGGAGGCTGCGTCTCAGAAGGCGCTGGCCCTGCATCTATGGATGAGGCTCGCGCCTTCTAGGGAGCGGGGGTGCTTCTGAGCAGGGCTGGACCTAAACAAGGTTTGTCGGTTTCGTTTTGTTTCCGTTTTCCCTCGTTTTGTCTTGAATTCGCCTTCGCTGCAAAACGACATCGAAACGAAAACGGCCAACGAAATCGCCAATACACCGTTTAGGTCCAACCATGCTTCTGAGAAGCCTTCCCCTCTCCACCCATACCCCTCTTGTGCGCGTGGCCGGCACAAGTGCCTCGCTTCCTCGGCCGCTGTTTTTCGGGAATGCGTAAGAGTCGGGTTCGGGGGACTCGAGTTGGCCTGACGGGGACCACCATGAAACTGCCTAGACCCAGTCGGAATTTGAGGCCGACTCCCGCTGCGGAAATCCCACCAAAACTGGAACGTCAAAACCCAGGACGCGCTCGGCTGAAGGCGCCTGCAAACCCGAGTTCCGTCGTACTCGAGTCGTACTCGAGTCAGGACATCCCCAGACATGCAACGTCGCGATTTTTCAATACGGGGCCCCTAGAAATCCCGACACTTTCCCTGGGCCCGGATTCTCATCCCGAGTCGGTTTTTTACGGCCCCGAGGCAAGGCGAGGGCCCCCGAGGCCCAAAATTGCAAAAAACAAAAACAAAAAAAAAACTCCCGTCCTGATTCTTCTACGACGCGATCCTGTCTGGGGATCGAAAAATCAGATCGGCGGACATCTCGGTGTGCACCACCAGCGGGCCTGGCCGGGGCGCCCTCTGGGGCCCCCCGGCATCGCGCGTGCCGACCCCCCGGCCGGGACAGGCGGGGTGTGCCGGGGGGCGGTCAAAACGACAGCTCGCGTGCTCACGTTTTGCTTCGCCCCACGACGAAAAACAGAATTGCCAAACACGAAACAGTAAATTCTCCAGAGCAGCGTGTGTGTGTGTGCACCCGAAAAATCGCGCTCGGACCCCGATGGCCCTGGAAAGAGAACACCATGAACAAATCAGAGCAGCTCGAAGACTGCCCGCGGAACTGCCCCAAGCAACGCTTTGGTCGCCCCCTGGCACACACACACACACCGATGTACATACTACATGCGTACATACAGATGCACATACACACACACTTACATACATATACACACATATACCTACATACATACATGCATACCGAAAAGCGGACATGCACTCATGCGTATGTACACATACACGCATGCATGCATTACGTTACATTACATTACATTACCTTACATTACTCTACACTACATTACATTGCATGATATAACATGTCATTGCATTAAACTGCACTGCGTACATACATACATACATACATACATACCTACCCACATATATACATGCATGCAAACATACATACATACATGCATGCATACATACATACATACACACACATGCACACACATGAATACATACATACACTCATACAAACATACCTGCATACATACATACATACATACATACATACATACATGCATACAGACAGACAGGCAGACAGACAGACATACGTGCAGACCGTCATACATACATGCATGCATATATACATACATACATACATACATACAAACATGCATACATACATACATAAGCACATGCATACATGCACACAAACATACAGGCAGACATTCATACATACACACCAGCCTGTATACGTACATACGTATATACGTACATACGTATATAGGTGTGTATGGCTGTGTATGCGTACACATAAACACATTTGTGTGTACACAATGTACACACATACAACCATATATACATACACACATACATACGTGATTGCATAGATGCACGCATGCATATATACGTACATACATGCACGCATGCATGCATGTGTGTATATATATGTACATGTATCGATATATGGATGTATGTGTGTGCATGCATGTATGCATGCATGCATGCGTGCATGTATGTATGCATGTGTGTATGTATGTATGCATTGATATATATATATATATATGTATAGGATGTGCGGGTAACTATACACGAACCTATGTGTACATGTTATGTGTTTATATATATACACATATGCACACGTACCGTCCCAGGGCCCACGAATGCCCTGGCAAAGCATGGAGGTGTATAGATGCCGTGTGCGGGGATCCTGGGCAGCTCGGAGGTGCCCCGCCCGTCCGCCGCGCTCGGGGACACGTGGCCTCCGTCGTGCACCGCCTCTCCCGCGGGAGGCGCCTCGCCCGCCGGCGGGAGCTTCGGCTCGGGGGGGAGCCACCCGTCGTTGTAGCTGTCCTCCGGCGGCGCGCACACGGAGGGTGGCGCGAGCGGGGCAGCCATGTGACAAGGCGGGAGGGGGGGCCCTTCTAGGACGCAGGGGGGGCCTGCTTGGGAGGGCTCGGAGGCCCCTGGGGAGGCCGCCCAGAAGCCGAAGGGCACCCTGAGAGGCCCCCTTTTTGTATCTTTTGAGAATAGAAGAAGATGAAACAAAGAAACGGCATGCATACAAACTCTTCGCGCTCCGCGCGGATTTCTGGGATCCGCGCTGAACCCCGTCCCCAGCTCGCGGACCGGGCCAAGGACAGCGCCTGAGGCGCCGCCCGGGGGGGGGGGGGGCCCAGCGCGGATCCAAGAAATCCGTGCGGGGCGCCAAGAGTTTATGCTCATGCCGTTTTTCTTCTTCGATGACACAGTCGGGCCGCTGAAAGAAGGAACACCAAATAAGGAACGAAGCCCCCTCTTGGCCCTGTAAGCGCCCCCGTGCCCCAGGAGGGCCAGAGGAACAGCACTGGAGGAACCTAGGGAACATCGAGCCCCTGCCGAACCCAAGCTGTTCCCTGTTTCAGCGGGGGCGGCGCCAAGGCGCAGATGCTCGAGCGCCTGGTCAACATCGGCGGTTCGAAGATGGGGCCCTGGAGCCTGGGACCTCCCCCGCCTCCTCCTCCTCCTCCTCCTCCTCCTCCTCCTCCTCCTCCTCCTCCC